GGCCCTTCTGGACTATTTCATAACTCAGGTTTATAACCTTTTTAAAAAGATCAATATTACTGAGTGCATAGCCTCTGAGCATGATGAAAGAGTCAGACCATCTTAGCAGTTATGGTCCATGGTTTCAAGAGCTCTGAGGGTCCAGATTAGAAGCACAAAATGAGGACTATATTCTCCCTGAAACACTAAAAAGAAAGAATAGCCTTGGAAGGATGGAGGGAAGCAGTGAAGTAAGATATATTGGAAAAGATCGTCTCTTTTATTGGACTAACTGCTATAGCTAGAAAATACAGGCAGGCTTTCCAGCATATAAACCCTTCTGCAGATCTGAGAGAGAAGATGTAGTGACATTTAAAGCCACACACAGAGTTTTGCCAACATGTGTCAGAGCGAGTCTCCAGTAGGAGGGAACAACCAACCGCTCTATTTGCAACTTGGCAGATGGGCTGTTTTGTTGACTGTTCTAACGTGTGATGTGAGTTGGCTGCTTGCACTGAGGCCCCTCAAGTGAGAAAGGTGGCTCTCGTGCATTGATATTGTATTCAAGAGCTGGTATTTGCTCGTGTGTTCATCGGGTGGTCAGATGCTCACATCAGCTGGGAGCAATGGGCTCCTGCATCTAAATTCAATATTCCTACAAATCTCGGCTGCTTTTCTTACACAGGTGGCTCACCAGTCAGGAGCAATGGTGCTTTCCTGCCTCTTAATCAGCTTCAAGAAATGTCAAATGATAATAAAGGCAAATAAAAGCAGGCGGGCCCTATTTTATAAAGGTCTCTGTGGATGAGGATGTAAGCTGGTGCTGACTCCCCACTATTTCAGTCGTCCTCATCCCATTTCATAGAGGTCGCTTTTCTTCCCGCGAGGCACAGAGCACATGGGAGGGCGTTGTGGGTAAAGTGGGGAAGTGAGAGATCCTTCAATTGCTAGCAATTCCCAGAAAAATTTGTAGTGAAAACTCAAGAACTTTTCAGTGGCAAAGGGCGGTGCTGCCAAGTGACCTTTGCCTGTGTATGTGCATTAACCACATCTAACTGATGGTCGCTATTCAGTGCTGCTCCCCTGCTCTTCTTCCTCCCTGCCCTCTCCTCTCCACTTCTTATGCTTCACTGAGACTGCCCCCCTTGCCTCTTCCTGAGTTACCACCTGTCACGCGAAACTTTGTGCATTAAAAAGGAAAGGTAATTTTGGTTCTTCCTGTTGTCCCTTTCCCCTTGGTGGCAAAGTGATCTCTAGTTATCCTGGAGCTTATCAGTGTGCTGAACATCAATAACATTTGGTATTGAGTAGTGATTCGGTGGAGGGGAAGGGGGTATGCATGATGTTGAGTGGAGTGCAGGGTCAGCAAAGACTGTTTCAATAGACAATGACATGTATGAAGTAACTTGTTAGTTTTCAGCCAAAGCTGTTTTTTCCAGCTCTCTGCTCAAGTAATACTGCTGCCTTGTTGATTGTAACATGTCCATCCCAAGACTCCAGTGCAAAAGCAGGCAGCGTGCAGCCCCAGCAAACTCACCTATTAACGCTCTGATGGCATCTCGCCCTTCAGGGCTTCGTAGGGAACAGAGTGGCTCTACTGATGCACAGGATAGATATGTCTGATCTGAGTCTTGGAAGATGTCGAGAAGTCTTTGTAGGGTTGGAAAAGCCATTTCATGCTATTAGACCAAATGTTATGGCTAAAAAACTTCAAAAAAAAAGCCGTATCTGGTAGGTATGGCTGCTTTCCAGGGGCTAAAGCTCTCGTTTCTTTGCCAAGCAACTGAGAAACGGTCTCAGGCCGAAGTGGCTTGAAGATTTAGAGTAATAGCTAATTCAGGGAGAAGGGGGACCCAGCTGGAGAGAGGTGACAGTCTAAAGTGAATGCTAAGTCAGCTTCCCCTTCTCCGGTGTAGTTTGTTATGTAGTTCTCTTTTTTTTTTTTCTGTACCTGTAGCTATCACCATTACAAAAGCCAGCCATTCGATATTCTCTGATGCATCTGGAATCAGGCATAGCCTGGAAAAAACTTCCCCTGCAGAAAATGCCACTCCGTAAAGACAAGTCATATGGAAAATGTGTGTTTTCAAGCTCTCTGCACAGATTCCAAAATTTTAATGTGACTGTGTTTCTATTTTTGCTACCTTTTGATGGTACTTCATTGTTGGTTCTCTTTAGGCCCCTAAAAGTTGTCTGCCCCTTTTCTGATCTAGACTTCGTCAATATTGTTTTCATCTCTTAAGTGTTAAGAGGGGGACAGTATCACCCTGGAATAACAAGAGACCTGGGACCTACTTGCGTTGGCTGTTTCTTTAAGCAGGAGATGCAGCTTCCAGGAGACTGGTGGTTTGGACTGCTAGGGAGCAGGGATACTTGGGATCATTTGTTCCATGTCTGAGCAAATGCACGTGTTCGACTGATGCTCTGTTCTCAGGTTTGGGAAGAGAAAGAGACGAGGATGGGAAGTCCATGTGTAATCACGCTGGCTCTCAGGCTGAGTGGCTGCTCCACAGCTAATGTTTTGCTGAAGTCTTCCACGTAACCCAGGCAGAAGTATATTAGCTTTGACACCGCATGCTATAATTTCCAAACCCTGTTGACAGTTTGTCTTAGTTAGGCTGTGCACATGATCGTATGAGAAGAATTCAGGGCAAATCATTCATTTGATGAGTCTTTCCTGTTGGGTTTTATTGCAGCTTCATGTATGCTTGAAGTATTAAGGAAATTTTTTTTGTACTGGGGTTGTTCAGAGAGATGGGATCTCACTGAGAAGGTAAGATATCTGTAGCTTTCTTTTCTCTCTACAGAAATGTTGGGAAGGAAAAGATCCAGTCCTGGCATGATGTTTCATAAGGTGACATTTGTTATAACTCATAGGTGGCAAATGTTACTCACCACCTACAAAACATTCAATTAAACTGAAGAGCAGTGAAAAATACCCAGCTCCACTTCAGCAGCTGCATTTGTCACTGGAGTCCTGCAGGTTTTTTTGGAGCCGGTAGAGCCTCCCAAGAGACCTCCACGCAGCAGCTGCTTTTCCTCTGTCCCCAGACCTGCCTGTGGGGGTTCCCCACTTCTCTGAGCCCGAGTGTCACAAGAAGATGAAGATTCCTGTGCCCTCTGGGCTTATCCGCACATCCCCAGAGATCGTTTTGTTGTTCTGCATCGCTCTGTGCCTGCTTAGTGTTTCAGTGGGAATTGCCTGGACCCTACAGGGATAATATTTTCAAAAATGAAATTTGAAAGATGATTTGTGATCCTGAGTCCTTTGGAAAGTCAGAGTAGTCAGTTATATACATCGTTTATTAAGGGGCTTCAGGCTCCTAAGTCACTCAAGATTGTTCTTTAGTTTTAAAAGCTTTACTGGCATAACATTTCTTTAAGAAGGGCATTAAATGACCAAAGTGGGAAATGGCTTAGCTGCTTTTGGTGCTGGCAGTCATCCTAGCACATTGATTTCCCTGATTAAATCACATTCCTTCAGCACGCAGATCTCACAGCTGATATATTAAACAAAAACCCCATAAGCTACCAGTTTAAAAGTCAAGAAAATAAGCCAATATATTTATGATGTTTTTATACACAGATCATAGGTCATTTTGCCTCCAACACTTTTGTGTGCCGTTAGATTGAAATATACGTGCACAGAGCTGTAAATCTCAAAATGTAACAAACAAAACTTTTCTCGTACTTGTAGGAAACCGGGATACTAAGCACATTTTTTGATATGCCAGATTCGTTGCTACAGATCTCTGGCTTCCCAGGAAATTCGCAGCTGTAACTTTGCTGTGTGCTACAACCACCTACTCTTCTGCAGTGTCAGCTGGGCTGGGACTCAGATCCTCCCACGGCCGGCGCACGGGGCCGTTGTTACACTGGAGCTGCAGGCAAAATGCAAATCGGCTCTGCCGCGCACGGCTGCCTTATGGCATGCGGTGGGATGGGAAGAAGAGGGCCCATAGCGGCTCGTTCCCGGTCCAGCACCTGAACCACAGGAGCCTCCTTTTCGTTAGCTCTTTATCAAAACCGCCTCCTTCCCCTGGATAGAGGGCGAAAATGGGACAAAACTCTGGCTAATTTGCTGCAGGAAACCATTGAGCTTTGGGCAAAGAGATGGACTAAGTGATCCAATTACTTATAGCAGCTGGTGGGGTTCCTTGATGCCAAACAGAGGTAGATAACCATAGGTCCTTTTATCCTGAGGTATGAATACCTTTCAAGGCTGTGTTTTCAATGACACCAGTCACCTGCTAGGCTCTTTGGGCTGTGGGAGGAAGCAGTAATTCATTCAGGTTGCTACACTTGTTGCAGGGCGGGATTTCTTTCTCCTCCTCCTAGGCCCTAAGCAGTACCACTGCCTCTGGAAAGCAAGAGGGGTGGCTTTCTACATCAGCCTATCTTCGGGTCCTATTTATAGATGAGAAAAGTGAGAAAATACGTTGAAAACATGCAGGCTTTCAAATACAATTGTGTCCTAGTCAAAGAGTAAACTTCAGGGGACAATGAAAACCTATTTTAAGAGACAGGAGCAAAGAAGAAGGGAACAAAAATAATGGAAACAAACCTTATTACTTGTAAAGAGGAGGATGACGGTTCCGAGAGGCTGCGGACCTGGCTCAGCCGTTATAAGGAAGGGGCAATGGGCAAAAAAAACACATTCAGTGGAAAAAAAGCAGAGGGGAGCAATCCTCCTCTTTGCACGTGTGCATAGATTACCCATAAACAAGATTGTGCTTCTCAGCAGATAAATGAAATCACTAGCCTAGCATTTGCACTAGATTTAAAAGTATACCCAGTGTATTCTGTGTACCTCTTCAGAGCAGTAGAGTAACCTCTTATTTTTTCAGGTAGCCTGTTAACGTGGGGTTGGTCAGGGAGCGTTACTGTCGTCGTTTTGAGAATGAAACACCTTAAAGAGGGAATCGGAAGCGTTTACTGCAATGAACTTTTGAAAGCTTGTCCACCAGTAGGGTTTGCAATGTCTGTTTTGTCACTTACGTGTGCTTCTTCTTCCCCACTAGGTTGCCCCGTCACTATGAACAATGGCCCAGCTATACTACAAAAAGGTCAACTATTCGCCGTACAGAGATCGGATCCCACTGCAGATTGTGCGAGCAGAGGCAGAGCTCTCGGTGGAGGAGAAGGCCTACCTCAGCGCTGTGGAGAAGGGGGACTATGCCAGTGTGAAACATGCCTTACAAGAGGCAGAGATCTACTACAACATCAACATTAACTGTATGGATCCTCTTGGTCGCAGTGCCCTTTTAATAGCCATAGAGAATGAGAATTTGGAGATCATGGAGTTACTCTTGAACCACAGTGTGTACGTGGGAGATGCTCTGCTATATGCAATACGGAAAGAGGTGGTGGGGGCTGTGGAGCTGCTGCTGAGTTACAGGAAGCCAAGTGGTGAAAAACAGGTTAGTCACGCGTTCCAGTTCAGTTTTAAGTCATTATCCTAAGAAAAGTCCTGTGTTGGAAACGGGTTACTGCACAGAGGAGGTGCTGTGCAAGAGCCATTAAAATGAAGTCCTGAATGCAGGTACCTTGCCCTAAGTATCCAGAGTAAACGTGGGCAGTCCTGTTTGGATGATAACTTTCCAGTCTGAGCAAACATGTCCCTCCCGACTTAAACGCTCTGGGCATTTTCCATTTCCCTCAGTGTTCTTTTCAGTCTTACAGTATTTGTGGACTTACTGATTTATAGATAGATTTACAGATGCATGCTTTGTAAAGGAATTTGGGGCTGTCTGGAATTATAGTACAGTCTATAAACATGAACTATTGCCATGCTATTGTACTGATATTAATAAGTGGAATTGCTTTTCAAAAGTAAATCCTGATAACGCACAAGCTTATAAATAACTGTAGGCAAACAAGCAATCTGCTAAGTTTCAGTACTTAGCCATAGTACAGACATATCATCTTGGTCTCCATCTCTGGAGAGCTCCAGTTCAGAGATGCCAAGGCAGAAGTACATGATGTTACAGCATGAGCTAAGCGCTATATATCTGAGCAACGGACAGCTTCTATGATGTGCAGGCAGGATCCTTAGCTACAAGGCCATCAGTAGGTTACGTGAGGATCTTTGTGCAAAATCAAAGTCCGAATCCTGTCATTTCAGGTGTCGCATATCACACACTCCCTACCTTCCTTTTTGCTTTTTTTTATTTGCAAGTAATGCGGCCAGTAGCTGGGATGGTTTATACACATTACTGACCCCTGTCGATTTTTGTATGTTCACTGCTTAGAAAGCCACATCAAAATTTAGATGATCCTTGTTTCTAAGGCCCTGTTTTGAAGCCTATTTGGGCTCATTCCTCTGTGTGTGAAAGAGAGAAAGGATTAATACCAGTCAGTCATAGAAGAAAACTTTTTCAATAGGTAGGCCCTTAGTGTGTAGTTTTTCGGTAGTAATGTTATCTAGTCAAAGCGAACAGTAAGGAAACACTTCAGATCAACCCTGACAACATTCAAGAGCTCTCAGCTCTGCATGTAGAAATGGCGGTGTTGTGTGTGCCATAGCAATGTGATTATACTCCCTGGTTTACGCGTTAGAGAGATGGAGAATCTCTACTGTCAGAGCTAAAAACTGAAATGTTAGTACTAGGTTTTATAGTGTGGGAAAAGATAAGTAGCAAAGTACAGGTCATTCATGGAGAACTAACTGGTTTTTTGTTGGTCTTGTGGAAAGTTTAATTATCCTACCCCCTAAAACGACCAAAAGGATAGAAGATCACTTTACTGAAAGCGTTCCTAAGTAGCATGCCAGGTTGTATTGCAGGTTAATGACAAGTTTCATCTGAATTGTCATGAAAAGCAAGCCACGGGGTTCAGCGTGGATTTCTCCAAAATCTCTTGGATTCCAAACCTTGCATCTACTCTAATTCACAGCCTTGCTGGCCTAACTGGACAGAGCCAGAAGTCCATTAAATAAGGCTGATTTATTGCAGCTGAAGCTCAGCTCCAACATCTCTGTCTTAGTGCTATATTTCATAGGCAGACTGTTTCATTTTTCCTGACCTGTATGGCAATGCATAGCTATCTTTCCGTAGCTATGTTTACACCTGCTGCAAAGTTTAACACTTGAAGGGGAATATGTGTGCGGGGTGAAAAGATGAAGTGCCAACTCCAGTTTTATTTACAAGGTTTGTTACAGGACCAGATTTCATCAGTAGGTTTTAGACTGGTGCTGGCTTGATGCAAGATCCTATATCCCGACTGGGATGGCTGAGTTCCCTGGCAGTGGCTCAGGCTCCCCTGTACGTCGCTGGAAGCGTTTGCCCGCAGAGGGCTGTGGGACTGGACTCTCACTTCTGCAGTTTCACTGATTGCTCATGTGCTGATGGTAATTAATATTTATTTCATGTGCAGTGTTATTACATTAAATGAAATGCTTAGTTAAGCAAAGTTGGGACACGCAGCTGAGCTTGTCGAATCACAAAGTTAATACAGGAGGGGTTTCTGAACACAAGCTCCTGATGCTAGTTCCAGAGCCGTCTCAGGACACGTTCAGTAATGTATTTGCTGGGCCCTTTCTCAGGAAGTCCTTCACGCTAAGCTTTCACAGAAAGCACCTGATAAATCAGATTAGCGCAACGTTGTCCTAATCGGAGTTACTCATACATCCGAAAACATACAAAAAAACCTGCTTCGCTGATTGAGTAGTAACCAAAATTCACACCTCATGGAACAGTTTCTGCCTGGATGAGAAATTCGTTAAGACAGTGTTATAGCATTTATATGTAAGGTGTGGTATGTTCTATTTGTGAAATGTACACCGTGTACAGTTTCCCTGCACAACGCTGTGTGAAGGCAGCTCCTCGACTCAGTGCAGCAGCCTGTTTCCGATTAGGGGCGGGCTGGCTGTCTCTGCCCCGCTCGGGGCAGGCGTGCAGAGGGAGCATCTTCTCATTGCTCTCTCGTAACTGCTGAATACACAGCCTCCATCTAACCTCCTAGTCTGGGGCCTCTGAAAAGCTGTTAGTCCGCGTTTTCCTGCTGCCTACCTCCGAGAGCTTATTATTTTACACCGTACCGAAGTCTCGTTTCTCCGGCTGCCAGGCCCGAAGAGCTCCTCTTTCTGCATGTGTTCACTTCAGCTCCCTTTGGTGTTGTCTTTGCATCTGCGTCCTCAAAAGCAGCTGAGTGGCATCGTTCGGCGTAATCCACTTTCTAGGCCTGTGTCTTTGCTCATTCGCACGTCCTTATCCTTGTATGCAACCCTGACTGAAAATGTCCCAGGTTGCGTTATATCCGTCCCAGGTTGCGTTATATCTGTCTCCTCTAGGGTTACAGCAACCGTACCCTAGTTAGCAAAAGATACCTACAAAGTAAGAAAGGTCAAAGTATAAAAAGACCACGGGCCCGTTCAGACCGGAGCTGACGTGGTTTGGCTCACCCAGGTGCTGAGCGGTGTGTCCTGGTCGCCCCATGCCCCTCTTTCGAGAGAGCTCCCGGGGGGAAGAGCTCAGCTTTTCCCCCAACAGTGACCTTTCCAGGGAGCAGAAGGCAAAACATTTCCCAGGGTACAAAGTGCCCTCTGTTGTGTTCCTCGTGCAGGAGAATCGGGCTCTCACGCATGGTATAAGGGGCAGCCGACGCTCTGCCAGCCTTGGTGCGGCTGCTGCTGGAGCGCCGGTGCTGCAAACGCCGTGGCAGTGGCAAGGGTAAGTCCTAGGCAGTAACTGTAACAACGCGCTTCTCCGCACGGCAGCGCGCGCGTGAAGGTGTCTCGGGAGAGCAGGAGATGACTGTTTACATGTGGAGCGCATGAGAGCCGGGCACACGAGCCAAACCTCTCCGAGGGCCGCTGCAAAGCGCATGATGAACGAGCGCGCTGGGCAGGGATGTATTTCCTTTCAGGTTTACCTCCAGGCGAGGTTCATGGGCTATTTTAGGCACTTTGTGTTTCTCCTCGAATCTGTTCTGTCTGATCCTGGCAATTTACAGCCACAGTTTTGTGCAGTGTTGTGCAAATCTCTCGATAAAGCTGCGGAGAAAACTCCCTCGGTTGTGGCCAGAGTAATGCCACGGCTAACGAAGTTGCTGCTGCTGTGGAACGTGTTGTCTCCGCTGGGAGACTTTGGGCTCAGGGAGAGAGTCATCTGGGGGCCAGAGTCTCCCTCGTTGTATACAGGGAGAGCGTACAGCTGTGCTAACGTCTGCACCTGGCACAGCACTAAGAGCTGAATTCACAGAGAAATAAATGAAAATTCAACTGCCTTCCCAAAATAGACTAAGCAACAAGGGAGTTTTCTTAGTTCTGCAAGTTTTACAAGTGCATTGGTTATTTCCAAATGTTTGTCAAAGAATTTACTGAGATTTAAGCCTCTAAGGTAATTTTAACCACTGTTTGGCCAGTTGCATTGTATTTCTGATCGGTCTCTTACAGGACGTGATAGTCTGATTTTCTCTGAATAGATGACAGGCATTTGGGAAGAAAACGGGCTCCTCATAAATATTAAGGAGAGCAGCAGAACACAAACTAAAACTCATGGAACCCTGAGGATGTGCAAGTGCTGATTTTCCAGTGCAGATTTGTAATCAGTGAATGTATGTTCCCTAGGGAATAAAAAGGAGCCAAATCAGGTGCTTCGGTAGGTATTGCTTGCTTTTAGGGACAGCGAAGAAGCTGACGTCGTACTGCATAGTAGCAGATCAGTAGGACGTGAGTACTGCACGCTGTTTGGCATGGCGATCCATACTCAGATCTTCCAGATGATAAACGCTGTGATATTTACAATAAATAAGAAGACAAAACATTGAATAATTATCAGAAAAAGAGGGAATGAGGTTGGAAAAAGGAATAAACAGCATACAAAGATCAGTGTGGCGTCCCCCCTCTCTGCCGGGTGTGAATAGGCACAGAACTTCAGCGGAGTTGTCTGGCAAAACAAGTTTCTTTGGCTCACTCTATGGGTGCCCCTCAAAAGCAGAGATCCATCTGGAGTCCTGTGGGGCTGAGATTACCAGGGAGCTTCAAGTGCTTCTTTCATTTGTGGATTCAGTACTACCGCTAGGAGCAAGGGAATGTGGCTATCAAGCCTATTCAACAATGTCTCTTTTCCAGTAAAATCTTCTGCTTCCCCATCTGTTTGATTTTTGAGATTGTTGGGTTTTTTTTTTCTGAAAGTGATAGCAGAAATGGTTTTTAGCCATACAAACATCAATACAGTGGACTGTGGTTTCAGTCAGGCTGGAGTCTGCACCTGACTATACTAACAAAGAGAAAATCTGCATCTGAAAACTCATTTTCCTCTCTGTTTGAATCTTCATTTTTACTTCCTCGTTAGTAATAGTCGTGTTTCCAAAATTGTTGAATCCCTCTGACATCAGTACGAATCTTCTTCCCTTTGTCTTCAGGTGAGGTCCAGTGAACATTCAGGGGAATTTTTATAATCGCCTCTTGGGTAGTTTC